TTCACCAAGTAGAATATGCATTCATTATTCACGGCTGTCTAGTCAGATCCTCGCCACTGTATGCATCCTATCTATGCAACGGTGTAGAAATAATTTAAAAGTGGGGGTGGACACATTTAGACAGGGGCATTGATTATCTCCCAAAAAGTGGGGACAGCGAAATAAATTTGTAAAGCACTGTTTTTTTAAACCTAGTAAGCTGTCTTGAGTGTATCTCAGAGTAAAAATATAAAAAGCTGTGACTTTATTTCTCATATTTGCAACCTCACATATCACAATTGCAACTTTATTTTTCGTAATTGTGATTTAATCCAATTGCAAATTCATTTATCACAAATTTGACTTTGTATCATATAATTGCGGCTTAATTTCTTCGAACTGTGACTCTATTTTTTGCAGATTTATCCTCACAATTGTGATTTAATTTCTCATAGTTTTGACTCATAATTGCAACTCATAATTGCACATTTATACTTTATTTCTTGTAATTGCAAATATTCCTGTGCATTTATATATCACTGTGACTCCATCTCACAATTGTGACATTATTTCTCACAATTTTGACTTCATATTTAACAAATAATTTCTCATACTCGCAACTTCATGCTTTATTTCTTGTAACTGTGACTTTATTTATTTCTCATGACTGTGCATTTATATCTTACAATTTAACTTCACATCTCACAAGTGTGACTCAGTTTCTCAAAATGTTGAGTTCGTGTCTCATAATTGACACTTCACAAAAACCCACCCTCCTAAAGCCTGAGACACACTGCACGATTTTTCGGCTGTCCCAAACGAAAGATTGCCATTGTGAAACAATCGTGTCGATTTCTGTGATCGTGGCTCCTAATCAGTGGTCCTATGTCGTACAGTCAGAGAGGTTCAAAGACAGCCGTTGTCACGGTCTTGTGACGAAAGATAGCTTACAATAATTTTCAGATGGTGTCAGAAATTCAGCATGATCATCGCACAGTGTGTTTGCTGCTACGACCCATGTTTACTGACTAGCCAATAAAAATGAGACATGAAATCAATGCGACATGGCGCTAAAACTTAAAACTGCTTACCTCAAGCTCTTATCCTTTCCTCTTTCACCGCTTCCACTTTTTTTCAACATACATAAAAACTCCAACTGCCAAAGTGTGATTCATCATGCTCTTTTTTACCACTAGTGCATGCTGATGACATTTTATTCTTCTATAGAAACGTGCGTATGAATCAAGGTCTCAACTTTCAAATTTTGTAATTTTTTTTAAGACTCTTTAATATGTCATGAAACATCACTGTATTGCCTCAGTTCAAGCAGCATGTGAACCGATCGTCTTTTCATATTTACTTAAATCATCAGAATGTATTTTATTTCAACTGCGGAAAGATGTCAATACACAACATTTTTAAGTTTAAGTCCACCGAAGGTTAATCTACTCTACTCTCCTGTCTGATTTGATTGTCGGGCAAGATGGCAGATTCGGCGTTATGATTGGTCAGATCGTCTGTCAATCAAGCTCTTTGTGAATGGTCAATTGCGACTTTATCACAGTTTTGACTTCATATTTGACAATTGTGATTTCATTTTATTTCATATCTCACAGTTTTAACTTCATACTTTATTTCTTGTAATGGCAACTATTTCTCATGATTGATTATTTTATATCTCACTATGTGACTTCATATCTCACAATTGCGACACTATTTCAACTCATAATTGAAATTTCATACTTTATTTCTTGTAGTTGCAACTATTACGGTACTCACAATTGTGGATTTCAGTATGTTACATAATATCTCACAATTTTTACTTAAATTTATACTTTTTTCATCTATATTTTACATGATTGCTCATTTATTTCTCACAGTTTGGACTTCGAATTTGACAATTGTGATTTAATTCTCATTATTGCTACTTCATACTCCTAGTAGTTGTGGCTATTTATCATGATTGCTCATTTATATTTTGCTATTTGACTTCATACATTATTTCCTGTAATTACAACTATTTCTCATGAATACTCATTTACAGCATATCTCACTATCTGTGACTTCATATCTCACAATGTGACTTCATATTTTACAATTGCATCTAACTTTCTAATTTTCCTTTCTATTTTCCTGTCTGGGTGAAGACCAGCTTAGATTTGCAGAAGGCAACATAATAATGCTACCTCTCTCCAGACATCACGTTTATAGCCCATTAGAAAGCACTGATTAAGATATTACGGTTATACATGTGGAATGCAGAACAGAGGTAATATATATCTGAGTGTGTATGCACACATGTGCATATGCAGGGTATAAGCATATATTATGTACACAACATGACACAGCACACTCACATCTGACAAGTATTGTGTTTTTCAAGCTGAATAATGTTTAACGATTAAACATCATTAAACATTTGACCAGGAATTGAGGCAGTATTGAAGAAGACAGATCTATGAGAGTGCCATATGATAGACCAGTCCAGTGTGCAGACACAAATAAGACTCCTCAGCCAGCATGCCTGTGTAAATATTTGAACTCTACCCAGCAGATATCAGGCCTCTAGAGAGAAAGACACTAGTTCAGGTGAGAAAGGGTTCATTCCCATACTGCATGCTTGCTGCCTGTGATCTCTACCCGTGGCTCGTGTATTCACGCTCTGCATATGGATTGGAGGTACAATAAGTGTATAAACAGAATGAAACCATCAGGGGTGCTGTGCAAAATGTCTGTTATTTATGTTTTTACCGTGTGACATTTTTTAAATTAAAACCCCTGCATTTTAGTTTACCTAGTGTTTTTTTCTTTTTGCACCTGTTTTAATTCAAATTAGTTCTTTTTCTGCACTGCAAAACAGATGTTAAATAATAAAAGTAGAAAATAATAAATTTTAGTGTTCATAATAAAGGTTTCTGCTAAAAATCTGCCAATGGATCAATAAAAAATAGGCCTACATTATTCAACATAAATTGTCTTATTATGCGGTTTTGCTTCTTGGGTTAATTTGTTCTGCTTTAAAAAATGTTTATCTAACTGGAAAAAAAAAAATTAAGTCTCAATTGATATACTGTACACTAGTGGTTGACACCAATATTTAAAGAGTAAGATGATTATTACTTGGTATAATGTATCTCAACAATAATATATTGTATACAATACAGTCCAATTACAAGTGAATACAATCTAATGTACGCTATGACACAAGGAAGTGTTAGCACTTCTGTTAATTTGTCACTTATTGCATAACATGATACTGTACTTTAAGGAATGCTGATTGTTGTTGTTTGGATATTACATAACATATCTGGATATCACATAACATGATAGAGTAAACTGTAGCTAGTGCAAAGTATGGTCGTTTTATCAGTTTACAGTTAACCTTCTCTACATAGCACAAACGGAGGGGCTCAATGTGTTAAACCAATAGCAGCAACACATCATGTGAGTTTGAAACATCACTTTCTTTAAATAGAAACCAGAAAATACTTATGTAGTAAAAAAAACCAGTTAAATGTTCCATTTGAGACAAACTACCTTTCTAAGGGTATGTTTACATGACAACGATGTCCTTTGCGTTTTTTAAAAGTTTCGCATATAGATGACAAAGTTTTCAAAATGAATCCCATTCATGCAGATCCGCGAAAAGGAAAACTAAACTAAAACTGCTGTATTATATATGCCAAGCCAGTAGATGGCGATGTTCATTTGTAAAGAAACACTATGCGCCACATTTCTGTATTTGGTCGTGTTGCGAGTATTAGTAGCGCGTTTCTGTATTTGGCTGGGTTGCGAGTATTTGCAGCCCGTTTCTGTATTTGGTCGTGTTGCGAGTATTTGCAGAGCGTTTCTGTATTTGTTCGTGTTGCGAGTATTTGCAGAGCGTTTCTGTATTTGGTCGTGTTGCGAGTATTTGCAGAGCGTTTCTGTATTTGGTCGTGTTGCGAGTATTTGCAGCACATTTCTGTATTTGGTTGTGTTGCGAGTATTTGCAGAGCGTTTCTGTATTTGGTTGTGTTGCGAGTATTTGCAGAGCGTTTCTGTATTTGGTCATGTTGCGAGTATTTGCAGCACATTTCTGTATTTGGTCGTGTTGCGAGTATTAGCAGCGCGTTTCTGTATTTGGCCGGGTTGTGAGTATTCGTGTTGCGAATATTTGCAGAGCGTTTCTGTATTTAGTCGTGTTGCGAGTATTTGCAGAGCGTTTCTGTATTTGGTCGTGTTGCGAATATTTGCAGAGTGTTTCTGTATTTTATTGTGTTATGAGTATTTGCAGCACGTGTTCTCATACTGATGAAGATGTTTTTTTAATGTGCTGGTGTTTTTTTATTTGTAAGTGTTTTCTTAAGTTGCAGCATGTTGAGCTCTCTCAGCCAGTTCATAACCCCCCCCCCTCACTAAACATAAAGATGTACAACATTAAACTGCTTTCATATTTATTTTTATTACAACATTAGTATCAGAGGTACATTTCAGGAAGTATTTCGAATATTACCTTGACATTAAGAAGTTTGAGAACCACTGGACTAAACTAAAGTTTTTATGTTATTGGTTCATACTATACTACACTTTGTAGAAATTTACAAAAAGAAACCTTTGACAGGCTATAATTGAAGCACTGAAAATGAATATCGTCAATGTGCACTTCAATATTCCATCCATTTGGAGGAAATGGTTGCGCCATTCAAAGGACATTTCACTTTGCACGTTTAACATTCTGAAAACACATACTGCAGAAAAAAGAACAGTATTCTCACAACTCTTTGCTTTTTCTGGGGAAGTGTGAATCTGTTGGGGATGTGTTTATAGGGCAAATAAAGGCCAACTGCTTTTACATCCACAAAGTAGAACAATTCCTGATAAGAGAATGTCGAGAGAGACAATTTCCTCCTGTTCCAGCTGACATGCATGTGACTAACCTTAGAGAGCATTTTTTTAACAAGAAAACAGTTCCTTCGTCCACTATTCCCTTTGGACAGTATGAACGCTTTACACGGGTTTACTGTACCTAATACGACTTTAATATTTTAAGAGACTGTTTGCTTCGCCCTTCCTTGTTCTGTCACTGCAAAGTTGAATATGTCGGCATGGAAAGAGAAACTAAGGAGAGTTGTTACAGTGGAGCCGGTGATTTTCCTCTACATGACCAGCACTTTCATCGTAACACCTGCATATCAACAGATGATTATCACAAAGGTAAGAAAGCTGCTACTGCTGCAATTTAAAGCAGGAAAAGTAAAAAGAGTGAAAGGCAGAGACATTAATCAAGTGCGTCCGGCGAGTCAGTGTTTTGTTCTTTGAACTGAAAAACAGGTCAGCAGGGTCCAGTTCTAGTACACAAAACGGAAATGCCGAAGCAGAACCACGGAGCGCTTGGAGAATAGCAGTGGAGCTCGAGATGTACTCAAAACCCAAAACTACAGCAGGCATTAATCAAGCCGAACCGGCCATGACAGTCCCAGAGCAAAACAACAGGCACTGTGATCACTCATGCACCAGATTAAACAATCGCTGACAGTCATTAGTCTATATTCTGTTGCTGAACTTAAACATTGGCTATGCTTGAGAAACTGTAGTATCTTTGTTTTAACCTTGTGCAATGACATGAAATTTTACTTTTTTTCAGGAGCTGACATGTCCTGCCATGTGACATACAACATTGAAATCTTTTTAAACAGCTTTTGCTATTTATATATAATAATTTAATATAATATTAAATATAACAATGAAATTAAAGTAAAGATGGGAAGACTACATGGAAAATGTATACATTCAAAATGTTTGCTTTCCCATTTGCTCCAATAAGGGGAAAAAAGCTCTCTGTAATTTCTGTAAATATGTATATATATATATATATATATATATATATATATACAGTATATTAATTGGAAATAATTGTGAGACTACATGGAATTTGACATGCACTTAATGCAAGCACTTGAAGGCAAAAAAAAAACTAATACTAATATATATATATTAGTGCTGTGAAATGATTAATCGCATCCAAAATAAAAGTTTGTGTTTACATAATATATGTATGTGTACAGTGTATATTTATTATGTATATATAAAAACACACACATACAGTAAATATTTTGAAAATATTTACATATATGTATTTATATTCTTATATTTTATATTATATAGAAATATATTGAACATATGAACATAACATATTTTTCTTAAATACATGTATGTGTTTGTATTTATATATACATAATAAATATACACATTATACACACATATATATTATGTAAACAAAAACGTTTATTTTGGATTCGATTAATCGCGATTAATCATTTGACAGCACTAATATATATATAAATAACTATAATAGTATTTTACAATTACTTTACTTTTTGTACTTATAATCTAATATAATTATGCAGGTAATTTTAATGCTGAGTTTTTACTGTAGCATTTTAACATTCTTTTACATTAAAATTAGTAATGATTTTTAGTATTTAATATATATTTACATCCTGATGAATTCTGAACAGAGAAGGGTTTAAATGAATGGCCTATTTTGTTGTTTGATTTTTTTATTTTTAAACATTAATAATAACTTTAACTTTTGTCTAAAAAGAAACAAAAAGCATCAAAGTAAAACAGAAAACGCAGGAAAAATAATATGTGTGGACTCTGAAGACATTTCTATGAATATAAATAATGCAGTGAATATATGCATTTGCTTAAGGGTGACGCTTTCCAAAACATGCAGCTGTTTTTAGTTCCTGCTCTTGTCATATTGCATTTTTTCCCTTTTTCCTGAGCGAGTGTCCTTCCTTTCCTCTCTCCTTTAAATTCTCTTACCCTTCCAATGAACTCTGCAGCTCCACACATAACAGCTCTCAGAAAAATGTGGATGAATATATCATATGAATGAGCACAACTCCTCGCAATGAAAACTGTTCAAAGATTAAAGAGGGTCCAATCATTTATTGCAAAGTGTTCATTTATGCCACTCTTAATGGCCTCGATTCTTGCCATTTACTCCTTGATATCATCATATTTGTGAGGTTGCAGTTCGTGAGCTTCCCCGAGGCTTATTCTTACAATAACTGAGGGCGTCCCCTGGCGCGATGACTTACTGCTCGGGTTGTGCATCATTCCCATAATGCCTTAGAGCATCATTACTGACACTGAATAAAAAAAATAAAAAATTTGAGAAGTAGAAAAACCTCAAAGCTAACCTAAGACGCAATAACCGAATTTCGTTCGATAACATTTGCTCTAACTAGAAAAGGACTGTTAAATGTCAAGATGTCAATGTGGCTAGTTTTGTGCAAAGTGCTAAGCCGGCTCATCTAAAAAATACTGACCTACAGTAACTGTTGCCATCCAACATTTTATCAGACCAGCTTGTGCTGTTATCTCATATAAACATGTTATGAACACTTTTGTTCACTTATCTACGAAATATCATATGAGCAGGAGTGCTGTTGCGCATGAACCCTTTTATTTTATTTTAGCATGAATATAATGCCAAGGTAATAAAACACAACGTACAGTGCTATAAATGTACATTCTTTTTTAAATGAAAATCTGAAAAATGTATGATGTTAATAACTGTTGAAATGTGCCATCACAGTCTGCGATCAGGGTCCATTAGGCATGGTTGCAAGTGTGATATGCAGCTTCAGTTTGGTTCAGTTCATACAATATTATTCAATAATAGTGGGTCTGTTTTTATTCCAAATGGAGTAACAAAAGCAGTGTCTCCAAGCAACATACAATAGTTTTGTTTTTTTGACAAATCGGTTTAGTGTATGAATGGATGATTCACTCAGTGAATGACAGTCACTACTGCCGTAGAGATTAAAATGCAAAAAAAAAAAAAATCATACAATTATGGCTATTCGGAACTATTTTACATTTTGGCAAACTGAAAGCTAATGAGTTCGTAAGACTGCATGTGAACCTTTTTGTACGATCTACGCACACCCCAGCAACGGTCGGTGGACCTTCATATTTGTTTTTTCAGTCATACATTTTTGCAGAAATCACAATTCATTGTAGTCCCCACAGCACTTAGCATCCCAATGTTAAAAATAAAATTGTTAGCATTAGCAATGTTTTCCCTGTGTAGTCAGAATCACAAACAACTAGCCAGTTTGTTTAATGACTCTTTCAAAATGACTCACATACTCAAGAACAGGGTTTGAATCACTCTGATGAATCATTCACTGAATCAACTCACTCTGACCATTTACTGAACTGCAAATCTCTTGAAGTCTTGAAATGAAAATTCTTTCTTGAAAAGAAGGATTATATAATTACTAGCACATTCAACAGTTATTTTTGTACTAGTAAGTAATATATAAAAAAAAAACAAAAAAACATTCATAGCGACATGTGTAGCTATACAGCTATGGAAAAAAATTAAGAGACCGCTTGAAAATTCTCAGTTTTTTTGGATTTACGATTTGAGTGAAATGTAATTTTTGTTTTATTCTTTAAACTACTGATTTTATTTTATTTGTTTGTTTATTTAACAGGGACAATACACTAGGCATTGCTACACACAGACAACCGATGCAGTGTACATAGGGCATATAGCATAAAGCTAGTTTGCAGCCCTCGTCCCTGGTTAAGCTTGAAATTTATTTTCAATTTTAAATAAAAATTTTGTCATTTAGAACATTTTGGTTCATACTATACTTAATTTTTAGACAACACAATAGCAATGTTTCAACTGTAATATCAATATTTGGTTGAATACCCCTGATTTTCAATAACAACAAATGAAAACACACACACACACACACACACACACACACACACACACATATACTATATGTGTGTATGTATCCTATGTATTTATGTGTGCATATACGAACAAAATCATATATATATATGATTTTGTTCGTGCTGTTAAACTTGACAGTGAGTAGGAATAGTTTTTTTTTGCACAATAAAACTTATTTATATATTATCCAAGTATATAATATAAATAAAGTGATATATATTAAATAATACAGAATAAACTATATTCAGAGACAATTAGGTCAGAGACAATTAACTTTTATTGTTGTGATTACTCGACAGTGCTGTGGTGCTTTATATATTGAAATTTATATTCGAACTTATTTTGAATAACTTTTGTCTTTTGTAGGTGTGTCAAGATTTGCTCAAGAATGATACTATCTGCAGTAACCCTGAGCACCACAAAGGGGACGAGGAGGTTCAGACGACAGCCTCCTACATCCTGCTTTTGTTCAACGCCACCCTCAGCCTGGTCTCCATCCCTCCCGCCATAATGCTGGGCTCCTGGTCTGACCGCGCTGGCCGTCGCAGGGTCATGGCGCTCCCTTCTGTGTTGTCCCTGTTGAGTGGGGGGTTGCTCTTGGCTGTAGACTTGTTGGAAAACATCAGCGTTTACTGGACCCTGATCGCTGCTGCCCTAACAGGCCTGACAGGTGGCCATGTCTCCATTTTCCTCAGCTCATTCAGCTACCTGGCCGACCTGACCATGGGCTCCAGCTCCAATCGCACTTTACGTATGGCAGTGGCCGAGTCCATGATATTCGTTGGAGGCACAGTGGGCTTCCTACTGGGTGGATTCTTGGAGCAAGAATTCGGACTCCAGGCAGCGTTCGGGGCCTACATTGGCTGCCATGTCCTGGCGGTGCTTTATATTGTGCTTTGGCTGAGAGACCCTACGATGGTAGAAAATACATGTATAGCTCCCTATAAAGAGGATACAGTTGAGCAAGGTTCTCAAGCAGATGAGTCCCGTCTGTTTATCCTAAAGTATGCCAAACTGTCTTTCAAAGCAGTGTTCAAGAGGAGGTCAGGGCAGGACAGACTGAAATTGCACTTTCTCGTTCTCTGCACCTTCATAAATAACCTGGTGGCTGTTGGTCAGTGCAAACTCACACATACACTAACACAAACACAGATATATACGCTATAGGCCAGTGGAAAAAAAAAGGTGTAGAAACAACTTTCTCATAAATGGGTAAATTTCACAATTAATTACAAAGAAACGTCAAGAAACACATTGCATTAAATGTGAAGTGTTTACTTTAAGTAGAAAGTCTGAAATACTGTAGTATTTTCTAGTAAAAATTACTCCAGTAATCTTTTTTTTAATTTGCAACTTAAAAAATATACTTTTTTTCAGTATTTCAACATTATGCAGGTGAATCTCAATAAATCTGTCAAGAATGGAAGGAAAAAAAAATATTATTATTATTATTATATATTTTATATTTTTATTTTTTTGCATTGACAAAATTTTTCATGCAAATCACCTGTTAAAAACTGGAAAGTTCCTGTAATTTATAGTTTTTGTAATATTTTTAATTATTGAATAGTTTTAAATTAATACATAATTAATTAATTAATTAATTATATTATTTCTAATATTAATAAACATTTTAATTCAGCATACACTATTTTATAAATAATTTTAATAATAAATAGTTTAATACAGTATATTATAAATACAAGTATTACCATAATCTATACTTAAACATTTTTTTTTTTACTTTTTATTATTTTTCTTTCTTTCTGGCAAGTAATTATATAATAATATAATAACATGTTTTCGTTAAAGTTACTGACCTACTGGAAAATCTGTTCCATAAATAGATTTTTTTGTTATTGTAATTTACATTTTTATTTACTATTCAAACACAATTGTATTTTTAAAAATATATATTTTTATATTTTATATTTTTATATTCATTATTTGAATATTATTCAATTGTATTTTATTCTTTGTTATTTTTATGTTTATAATTGTTTACAATGTTAAAAAAATAATTTTAAATAATATTTTAAATCATCATACATTATAATATAAACACTATTAATACAATAAATGATTAAATACAGTACAACAAATACTAAAAATCTGTTGGAGTCTTTTTTTTATTACTTCATGCTTTAAACCATTCAGACTTTAACACATTCAGTTTTAGTAAGAGAAATTTAAAATCAAATGTGAAATAATGAAATAATGCAGCATAAACGTTGAGATGGCTGAAATGAATTATCAGTGCAGCTAATATGTGCCCCGTGGTCAAGTCAAATGTTTATGATGATAATACTGCTGAGGCACTGCAGGGAGGTTTTAAAGCATTCAATCAGAGTACTGTCACTCCTGAGGCCAGAGAGAGAGAGAGGGACAGTGATGTCTGTATGTCTCTATCAATTTCCATAAATTCTTACAATTAGATATTAGTGTTCCTAATAATGCCTTTAATTTTACCAAATATAATTGTCGTTATTTTTATAGGTTCATAATTGTTCAACCATCTCGTTTGAATTACACTCTGTATTGCTTTGAAAAACATTGATCTTTGAAAGTCGTGGCAATAAAGAGCTGGAGAGAGAGGGGACATTAATAATAATGTGCTTTTATATGCGTTTGTCTCTCCAGGGGATCAGTCGATCTTGCTGTTGTATTTGATGTATGAGCCTAGAGAGTTCACAACTGCCCTGTTTGGGGTATTTAACTCTGTGAGGATGCTCTTGATGGTAAGTGGTCTTGTTTAATGCAGTAATGCTTTCTCTGATGACTCATGTCTCTCAGCTAACTCAGATTGGAAATCAGTGGACGTCCTTGAAATACCACTAAATCTTTCGATTTCAGACTCAAACAGCAGTGGCCCTGCAGTACGGACATTGACTGGACACTTTGCCTTCTCTTCATCTGAGTCTCTTCTCTAGCACACACAGCAGAGCACAATGCCCTTGCACACACACCCCTTTGATAACCAAACGTATGTTCTTTATGATTATTTATAGGATTTTCCCCTGTAGTCAGAGAACGAAATGGTAAAGACAGGGGACTGACACAACTCTGAACAGACAGCACACAAGAAGATACAGCATCAGTCCATTCAGGTTTTTTCCGTCACACGGCCGGTTCTGCTCCATACGAGCTGCAGTAATATGGCACAGAGGGACGTATACATTCACATGCTGTAAAACCAAGAATGTAGGTTATTGTGGACACTGTCAGCAGTTTAGTCTTTATGACTGTAAATATAAAGGCTGCTAAAGGTCTCAAATTAGCTAATGATTGTCACATTATGTCAGTTTAAAATATTTTTCTTAGATAAATAGTGCTGGAAAAAAAGCAGGTAAGTTAAGTTAATTCTATGATTATTATATATTGTGTATTATTATTATTTTTATTATTATTAATTGTATTATTATTTATTAAATCTCCCAATGTACATAGCAATTATATTTCTTGTGATGTTAAGATAATCCAATCAACTGTTACCCTTGTCATGGTCCAAGTGTTGAAGTCTTTAGTGGCATTTTAAGTTATTTAATTAGTGATATTATTAGTTACAGTAAGGCAAGGCAAGGCATCCCAGTTTTCCAGTCTAGAAGTATGTTATGATCGACAGTGTCAAACGCAGCACTAAGATCTAGCTGTACCAGCACTGATATTTTGCCAGAATCAGAATGTAAGCGAATACCATTTATTATCTTAATGAGCGCTGTCTCTGTGCTGTGATGCGGTAGGAAACCAGATTGAAAATTGTCCAGGTATCCATTTGAGTTTAAGTATTTGTTCAGCTGATGAAAAACTACCTTTTCAATAATCTTGCCTATAAAAGGAAGATTTGATATTAGTCTCTCTAGTAGTATGTTATGATCGACAGTGTCAAACGCAGCACTGAGATCTAGTAGTACCAGCACTGATATTTTGCCAGATTCAGAATTTAAGCGAATATCATTTATTATCTTAATGAGCGCTGTCTCTGTGCTGTGATGCGGTAGGAAACCAGATTGAAAATTGTCCAGGTATCCATTTGAGTTTAAGTATTTGTTCAGCTGATTAAAAACTACCTTTTCAATAATCTTGCCTATAAAAGGAAGATTTGATATTGGTCTATAATTGCTCAAAATGGTGTTATCAATACCAGTAAGCAATTGGCTTTCTATATACACTTTTGGGTATAAGTTCGGGTCCAGTGAATTATTTATTTATTTATTTGTTTGAATAAAAAATTAGCACTTTTCTTCCGCAAAAAATTGATCAAAATGCAATAAAGACTTTTACATTGCTGCAGAAGAATCCTATTTTAAAAAGTATCATCGTTTCCACAAAAATATATTAATTTTCAACATTGATAATAATAAGAAATGTTTTTTTTGAGCAGCAAATCAGCATATTATAATAATTTCTGAAGGATCGTGACATTGAAGACTGGTGTAAAAGCTGCTGAAAATTCAGTTTTGCATCACAAGAATAAATTACATTTTAAAATATATTAAAATAAAAACAGTTATTTTAACTAGTACTAATATTTGTATTTTTAATCAAATAAATGCATTCCTGGTAAACATAGAGACTTAAAAAACACACAAAAAAATCGACCAATCCCAAACTTTTGAACGGTAGTGTACATTTCTAATAGACAGCATGTAGTAAAGTATATAGTACTGAACAATACAGTATGGTGTGTTTTTTTGGTAAGAAAGAACATTTTTAAAACTATGAGAATTATGACTTTTACTATTGATTACCCTTTCAAAAAATCATTGTCTTGTTCCTTCACCGTGGCATTAGCAGAGTAGCTTTGCAGTGTGAGGCTGTCTGTACAGCGGTAGTGATGGGAAACAGGTTGAAGTCTGCTTTGTTTTCGCCGTCTGTCATGAGGAACCCTTCCTCCTAGCAGGTCGATGCTGTGTCTTAGAGTGACACTTAAACAAAGCCCTCAGTTAAGGAGCACCCTTCCTGATTGGAGAGGTGATGGCTCTCCATTTATATCAGGATACACCACGGGGCTCCAATCGCTCGGCTGCCTTTTGTGTGGAAGCCGAAGGCATCGATCCTGATAAACCTATTATAGACTCTGTCTGTAGGGGATGTCAGCTAACGGGCCGCCACCCAATACACAGAGCGAAAAGTTTTAATTAACCGCAATTGAAAGAGTCAATTGGGGGAAAAAAGCGAGAAAAGGACAGACAAAGAAACTTTTTTGAATACAAAGACATCGTGGAGGGGAGCTGATCTTGTGCTTCCAAAGATCTGAAGCATCAAAATCTTAGCAGGTCTGGCTGCGGTGAGCGCACGGCTCCATGCTTGTGGTTTTTATAAATGGCTGCGGGGCTGGAATTGACTTGTAATTAGGGTGGCGTGGAGTTGGTGAGGAATTATTAAACACTCCAGGCTCTAATGAGTTGATGAAAGTAAAAACACGGAGCGTTGACCTTTTCCGTGGAATGTTTATGCATTCCCATTATGTTTTCTGCAGCAAATCAGAGGCGGTGGCAAAGTCTGTTGACACCGGGCCCTCGCTGGGCAGGGGGGGTAATTAAATCAGAACTGTTTGCATGAGCAGTCAGAGCAAATGAGTCACGGCGCGCACCTCTCACGCGTGTTCGCACGCAAATGCGGATGCAGGTGAGTTCGCTTTCAAGTGCTCTCAGACGTTCTGAGTGAGGCAGCCTGACTGTTTTTGACACTGTTTCATCAGGCACAAACCCTGAAGGTTAATTAATCCACTGGTTAGGTTTAGATGTGTCTGAGAGAATCTAAATATTTATGGGCTTTGTTTTCATTCAAGCTGAACCACAGGACTGTGTAGTGCTTATGTATTCTAGTGCGGTGCTTATGTATTTCCGAGATTACACAGCTGTTATATTACATTATTCAACATCAGCATAATTTTAAGCATTTTGAATTATACATAGGCCTAGATCTTAGTACTCACCAAATGATCGGATTTATGGACGATAAAATGGGTGAAAAATCTCATAAATTTACACTTTAGGAGGGAGCATAGACACATCTCTCTTGGGCAACCAGCATTGTAGCAGCAAGTTTCGCACTATTCACCACACCACCAATGTTCCCTCTAAGGAGCGCGCGCGGGGCCGCACACTTCTTCCACATGCTCGGGCAAACCGCTATAGAGTTGATGTTGCTATAGAGTTAGAACCGGTCAATGTGGTTATCAGGTTCCATAGAAAGAGAATGATGTGCGACAAAAGAGTCGGTGCCCTATCATACACCTGGCGCAATGCGGCACCAGGCACGATGCAAGTGTTTTTTGTTAGTTTCAGGCCGATGCAGTTGTCATTTTCACGTCCTGCGCCACGTTGTTTAAATAGCAAAATGCATTTGCGCCCATTTGTGCGCTCATGGGCGTGCTGGTTTGAAAACGAGGTGTGTTGCTATTTTGAGGCAACTGAAATAGACTGCGCCATTAACCAACTAAAACCTGGTCTAAAGTCAATGGCGCAGTAGTTTTTTTGTTATTTAAAGAGCACGTTAGTATAGGGGGTCCACAGCGCGCGTACACACACAGGGACACACAGCAGCACACAGACATGCCAAATATTACAAATTAAAGGAGTTACAAAGAGTGAAAAATTTAAGGGGGTCTGAATACTTTCCGTACCCACTGTATATATGTAAAAATAGTAATATTGTGAAATATTATTGTAATTTCTAATATTGGTTTCCCTTTTTTAATATAGGCCTTTACAATATAATTTATTCATGTGAAGCAAAGCTGAATTTTCATTATCATGATCCGTTTCCTCTCTGAGACGTGTTCTGTCTTTGTGCTTGCAAATTCCGCCGTGTAAATAGCAAATCCGCCATGGCACGAGCGCAACTGGCTCTTAAAGGGAATGGGAGATGAGACTCTGATTGGTTTATTGCACGTTATGCCCAAAACACACCCATTACTCATTAAGAGAATAGGGACAACCCTTTTAGACCATGCGCCGACCATTTTTCCCGTCGTTAAACTAGCAAAAGTGGATTTGGACACGCCCTAAGTGCACCTGCGCCATACGCTTTAGACCATGCGTTTAGATCGTTAAAATAGGGCCCTCGCTGTAGAAACCGAATAGCCAACTTCAATGGTTGCGGACGAAATAGCTCAACACGAGAACCAACGCAAACGCAGTGACATGTGAAATAAAACGTCCTCATGTATTAAAGAATAGTGGCTTGATTAAGTGGTGTAAATAGCGGATGATGGGCACAGAACGGTAACAAAACTCAGAGACATTTAGAGTCACACACAGGTATTGTGCAAACTCTACTTAATAAGAATTCACGTTAACTTTTTTTTTTTTAATATATATGTTTAACTTTACAGATCTCAGTTTAAATGCTTCAGTTTGTTTTCTATTTTATTCTATCAGTTTAAATGCTTCAGTTTGTTTT